AATGTGAAGAGCAATGACGTGAACCCTCCCTTGTGACTCTTGTTGAGCACTGTTGCCAGAAGCCGTACTACATGTCGCTAATCAAGCCATGTTGTTCGAGGTCAGGTTTTTAGTACAACTTGAAGTTCTTAATGCAAGCCCCAGGGCGGCGTTAATTTTTTAAAGTTTTCTGTTGCGTCGCAGCCGCGATGTCGGTGTCTGATAACGACGTCGACCTCAATATCCAACACAATATTTTCCCTTATACAGGGTGGCCAAACACGTGACGTCATAAAAAAAAAATTAGATTCCCCACATCGAGAGGAACCCAAATCACCCCCATATATATGGTCCGATTTTGTTTAGTTTAGGAGTTATGATTTTTTTTCGGATTTTTCGAGAATTTTTGAGTTCTGTGTTTATTTTTACCATAACTTCGTTAATAATTGTGATAAATGCCTGCTTTTTTCACGATTATGTAGCTAAGACCTAATGCTTAACTATCATATAATCATTCAAGTCATGTAACTAATACTACTTTTTAATTTTTTTCAAAATCTTCGAACATAACAAAAAAGTAAAAAAGTGCAACAACTTTGAAAGTTTATAAAAAATTGAAAAAACATGTTCTTACTATTCGTAAGTATCTTAAAAACTTCCTTACGGTATCAGCTATTCACCGTGAAAATTTCATCAACCTAGCTTTACTACATGCTACCGTAATTGTGGCTCAAATAGAACCGAACCCAACATTGGATAACCCTCTGCTCAATAGAAATTGTTAGTTTCGGAAAAAAAATTTGCAAAAACCACAAAAACACGTTTGATTTTTACTGAACAGCAGATTATTATTCATTTATGTTATTTACAAGAGGTTTTCAAAATGTCTGCCTCTAACAGAAATGCACAGTGTACACCTACATATGAAATTTTGTTTTAAATCTCTAAATGCTTGTGTGTTGTTTTTCAACACATGTGTCGCTTCTTGAATTTTGTTCCTCAATGAATTTTCATTTGCACATTCTTGGGCGAATGTTATGTATTTAAAATATCCCCAAACAAAAAAATCAATGGGGTTGAGGTCAGGGGAGCGTGGAGGCCATCGTATCGGTCCGTTTCGTCCGATCCATCTGTCTGGGAACCTTTCGTTTAAGTAGTTTCGCACGATCGTTGCGTTGTGGCATGGTGCACCATCATTCTGGAACACCATGTTCCGTCTGGCTTCCAGGCTTGAATCTTCCAGCAATAATGGTAGGCTATTTTCAAGGAAGCTTTTGTAGGCTACCGAATCCAACCTTGACGGCAGCTCAAATGGACCGATAAATTCCATATTGAATATTCCTGACCACATGTTCACACTAAAACGGTGTTGAAATGTCGACGGCCTCGACTGGTGGGGTTTTCAACAGCCCAAGTATGTAAATTATGGATATTGAATATCCCTGTTCTTTCAAAACGTGACTCGTCAGTCCATAAAATTTTATCAAAAAAATCGGGATCCTCTCGTTGTCTTCGCAGCATTGTCTCGCAGAAATCCACTCTTAACTGGTAATCTGAAGGCATCAACGCTTGAACACTTTGAACATGATAGGCATGATAACCTTCTTCATGAAGAATATTTTGTATCGATGTTCGTGGTATTCTAAGGTTTTGTGCCATAGATCTCGTACTCGTTGAGGGATTCCGGCTAATTTCTTCAAGTACTACTTCTCTGCGATCCGGATCAGCTGTAGGATATCCTTCATTGCTTCCTCGTCCTGGAATGCGGCCTGCCATCAAAGTGTTATGTGTGTTAATAAAAACACGGTGGTCTGGGTAATGCTCAGGTTGTGGTCCGTCTCGGCGTATAAGTTGTTCCCGGTACAGCTGAGCTGCTAAAGCGCCGTTGCCTTGAGCAACGCCATAATAATAATGCATCGACATTTCAACACCGTTTTAGTGTGAACATGTGGTCAGGAATATTCAATATGGAATTTATCGGTCCATTTGAGCTGCCGTCAAGGTTGGATTCGGTAGCCTACAAAAGCTTCCTTGAAAATAGCCTACCATTATTGCTGGAAGATTCAAGCCTGGAAGCCAGACGGAACATGGTGTTCCAGAATGATGGTGCACCATGCCACAACGCAACGATCGTGCGAAACTACTTAAACGAAAGGTTCCCAGACAGATGGATCGGACGAAACGGACCGATACGATGGCCTCCACGCTCCCCTGACCTCAACCCCATTGATTTTTTTGTTTGGGGATATTTTAAATACATAACATTCGCCCAAGAATGTGCAAATGAAAATTCATTGAGGAACAAAATTCAAGAAGCGACACATGTGTTGAAAAACAACACACAAGCATTTAGAGATTTAAAACAAAATTTCATATGTAGGTGTACACTGTGCATTTCTGTTAGAGGCAGACATTTTGAAAACCTCTTGTAAATAACATAAATGAATAATAATCTGCTGTTCAGTAAAAATCAAACGTGTTTTTGTGGTTTTTGCAATTTTTTTTCCGAAACTAACAATTTCTATTGAGCAGAGGGTTATCCAATTTTGGGTTCGGTTCTATTTGAGCCACAATTACGGTAGCATGTGGTAAAGCTAGGTTGATGAAATTTTTACGGTAAATAGCTGATACCGTAAGGAAGTTTTTAAGATACTTACGAATAGTAAGAACATGTTTTTTCAATTTTTTATAAACGTTCAAAGTTGTTGCACTTTTTTACTTTTTTGTTATGTTCAAAGATTTTGAAAAAAATTAAAAAGTAGTATTAGTTACATGACTTGAATGATTATATGATAGTTAAGCCTTAGGTCTTAGCTACATAATCGTGAAAAAAGCAGGCATTTATCACAATTATTAACGAAGTTATGGTAAAAATAAACACAGAACTCAAAAATTCTCGAAAAATCCGAAAAAAAATCATAACTCCTAAACTAAACAAAATCGGACCATATATATGGGGGTGATTTGGGTTCCTCTCGATGTGGGGAATCTAATTTTTTTTTTATGACGTCACGTGTTTGGCCACCCTGTATATTCATCACACGATCCAGTGCATATAAGCAAGATTGGCTGTGGCAGAATTTCCTTTACAGTGTTTATATTCCAGGGCGATGACAGTGATAAACGGCCACCATAAAATAAACCGCCCGCAGCCCTTCGGTGGCCCTTCCGCCCTGTCATAACATATGAGCGATACACACCCTACGCAACTACTACTGATGAGAATTGCGTGTAAAATCATATATTACACTGATATTTTCACCAGCATTGTCGAGTCGAAAAGATCTGCACTTTGGATGGCGTTCAGCTGTGTCCATTGTCATCTCCGCTTAGAATGCGCCGAAGAACTGCACCATGCTGTCAAAAAGGCCTCAACCCTTTGTTTCTCAGTGGTTTCTCTGTGAACCTACGTACGAAGGATGTCTTTTAAGTTTTGGATATGAAAATAAAACAACACGGTGGGTAGTTTTAAATGACTTTATTGTTTTTCGAAGTATTCTCCACGTAGATTAATAGCACTTATTCCACTCGTTTGCTGGCAGATCCTAAACGGCATTTTTGAATGCGTCAACTGCTTCTTCTGGTGACTGGAACCGTTGACCACGCAGTCTGTTTTTAATTTTCGGGAAAGTAAAGAAATCGTTAGGAGTTAGATCGGGACTATATGGAAGATGGTCCAATAATTCCACGTTTTCTTCCGTTAAATACTGGCTTGTTTTTTGGGCTGTGTGCGAGCTTGCATTACCTTGGTGGAGGATGATTCTTCTTTCTTGGTTGATTTTTCGAAGCTCGGTGATGACTTTTGACAAACAAATGGTGGTACACCAATCCGCAGTAACAGTTCTTTGCTCATTAAGAGGAATCGTTGCAATATGACCCGCTTTTGATACAAATGTCGCGACTATCTTTTTCGAAACGCTTCGAGAACGTTGACTTTTCTTCACCTTGGAACACCCAAACAGCCGACTGTCGTTTATTTTCTGGTTCATAACAGTAAATCCACGATTCATCACCACTAACAATGCTGTACACATTTTTTGAGTTTCCAGAATTCAAGCGGTCAAGCGTTTTTTGACACCAATTAACCCTGGCTGCTTTCTGCTCTTCAGTTAACAGGTGGGGTATCCAACGAGAAACTAATTTTCTTACTCCTAATTCTTCATGTACATTTTTTTGAATTGAGGTCTTTGAGATCTTCAAGGACGCCTCAATCTCGCGATATGTCCCATGTCTATCTTCAATAATGAGTTTGCGCACAGCATCGACGTTTTCCTGGGTGACTGCCGTTTTTGGTGCACCCACTCTGGGATCGTCGCTAAGACTCACCCGTCCACGTTTGAATTCTTCATACCAACGGGAACTTGTCGACTGATGTCGCGCATCGTTGCCGAAAAGAGACAGTAATTCAGCAAGGCATTCTTGTTGCGATAATTGTCTCTGAAAGTTGTAATAAATTATGGCGCGAAAATGTTCTCGGTTGAGTTCCATTTTTCTAATGACTTGGTTACACCTAAAAATTCACTGTAGTGAGAACACTGCACGTATTGTTGTGAAACTTTGAATTTAAGTTCACTACAGAGTGAGGTTAAGATTCAGTACTGACGTTCGATCCGCGTGGCCTACTATGTTTCTATATGCAAAACTTAAAGGACATTCCTCGTACATACAAATTTCATGCTACGTTCCTAGCGGCATATGCTTGAAACCACTTACATGACGTATAAGGCTCCCCACACCTTGAAATTTATTGCGATCCGCCATTTGCATTCGCGTTGCTCATGTATTAGTCGGTAATAGAACGTGTTTTGAACTGGGTTAGTGGTGTAAGCAATTTTGCTGGTTTTTAGATCATTTCGCTAAGGCAGGTAGTTTATTCTTTCATTTAAAATGTTGAAAAAATTTGTATCGATGACTAGTGCTCTCTATTACTTAAATTTATCAACCTACAATATTTATCGAAGATATAAAGTGCCGGTTTTATCGTGAAATCACTAGGATATTACGTATCCTTTTTATTTCAGGAAAAGAAGTGTGTACATTCAGAGAGGTGGAGAATATGTCATCGGACGATTTGTATGCTTTATTAGAGGGTATTTCTTCGGATGGCGAGTCAGATAAACCGAGTAGTGATGAAGATGATTTGATTGAAATTCTGAATAGGCCAATAATATTTGAAGACGACCAACCAGACCAACCTACAAGAGTCGACAATTCTGACAATATTCCTGCTGATGAAGCCTCCTCAGACGAGGAAGATAATACGAGTATTCCTCTTTCTATTTTGAGGGATAGAGAGCTAACGAAAATGACAACCTGGACCAAATCAACAACATTTTGCTTTACTAATATCAAGCAGTTCACTGACGAAACTGGACCTAAAATTCCAGACGATCTGGAGAAGCCAGTAGATTTTTTTTATACTTCTTTCCCAGTACTCTAATTGATAAAATTGTTTTTGAAACGAACCTCTAGGCTCTTCAGAAACGTAGAGGATACACTTCATTTACCCCAACTTCTGCGAAAGAGATTGAAACTTTCATTGCAATCAATATATTGACGGGAATCAAAAGGTTGCCCAGTTATGTCGATTACTGGTCATCTAGAGAGGAATTACGAGATTACTATATAACTTCAGCAATGTCTAGAGATCGGTTTGCTTGGCATCTCGGAAATGTGTATTTAGCAGATAATTCAGTGATGCCTGCTCGCGACTCGCCAAATTATGACAAGTTGTATAAAGTTCGCCCTTATTGGAGACTTTATCTGAAACCTTTCGTTCTTCATATGACCCTTCAAAGCATCAATCCATCGACGAATCTATGACTCGATTCGAGGGACGCAGTTTTCCAAAGCAGTTTATGCCGCTCAAGCCCATCAAACGAGGTCTGCCAATTTCAAATATATGTTGGAAAAACTAATAATCAACCTGAAAAAGATTTGGGCCAAAGGGTTATCTTAGGCCCGTATCGTCAGTCGTCCCTACAACTGTAGGGCGCCTTAATGGCCTCCTTGATTGTCATAGTTTTCTACTTCTCCGTGTCAGCGCTCTATTTTGAGGTTATGTCACAAGCATCTATTTGCATCAAATTGTGCTTGCTTTTGAGTTATATCATGTTTTATCAGCCGGAAATTTCCTACAATTTAAAAAGAAAATATATCTTCACAATAGGAGAGCGCTGACGCTGACACGGGACAAGTGTAATCTAGAAATTTTTGAAGGAGAGAAAGGACTATGACAGTCAAGGAGGCCATAAACGCGTCCTATAATTGTAGGGACGACTGACGATACGGGCCTTAGATTTGACACGAGACAACTTTTTTAACTCTGTGCCATTACAGAAAACACTGCAAGCAGAATGTATTTATGCATGCGGCACTGTCAGGACTAACCGAAAAGATATCCCAAAAGACTTAGTGTCTTACAGAGAATTGCCCATCCGAGGAGAATCTGACTGGAGGGTCAGCAAAGGTAGACTGGTGCTTGTAAAGTGGAGAGACCGAAAAATAGTGCATTTTCTCGGAAATCATCAAAACCCTTCAGAAGAAGCAACTGTTTCTCTCAAGCAAAAGCACGGAAATTCACAAGTTGTAGCCTGCCCAACGATGGTCAAGGAATATAGCCACTATATGGGCTACGTTGACAAAACAGATATTTTCAAATCTGTGTATGAGATAGACCGCAAATCTAAGGAATGGTGGCATCGAATTTTGTGGCATTTCATAGATATATGTGTTGCGAATTCTTTCATTCTCTTTAAACAACAAGTGAACTCCCCGGCTCCAAACCTGAAATTTTTCAAGTTATCTTTAGCTTCAGGGTTAATCGGCGCCTGTGGTGATAAAACTTCACGGAGTAAGGTTACAGCAAGACATTTCAAGAAAATTGTGCCTTATGAAAAACGCTTTGACCAATGTTTGCATATGCCACAACACGGGACATCCAGATGATGAGACTTTTGTATCACTAGTAAGGATCCTCACAGAATCAGGTGGGAACGTGTGACTTGTAAGGTTGGATTGTGCCTTAGGGAAAAAAATGTTTTTCATTGTATCATAAAAAGTAACCTAAGTTTTATAATGTTATTTAGTTATCAGGTTTTTATTGGCATGCACTAGTTTCCTAGTGGTATCATGTCGAAACCATAGTCTAGTAAAAAAATACATATAGAAAAATAAATGTTTTTTACTGTTTTGTCTTTTTGGGAACCCAATAGAGTGAGATCATTCAATCTTTACCTCAATTTTTTGATGTAAAAGTTTTCAGGAAACAAAGGGTTGACCTCCTGCCGACGATGGGTTATGCGACGTTGATCATTTGGATACTGAAGGCGTATTCGACATATCACGTGACCAACGTCACATGACCGATAACTTTGTTTAATGTCTTTTTCGGGATCAGCGTCGCATGACTAAGTAACGTGACGGTCGACCTGCTACGTGTTTTATAAGGCCTTTTTGATAGTGTGACACTTCTATACATCCATGTACACCTGACACACTAGGATTTTTTATTTTTTGTCACATAATAAACCTTTGTTGTGTAACTCACCTGATTGCGTCATATCCAGAGTCTATGTGTTGATGGACGGAGTTAACCATCAGTTCAGCACCACCTCTGAGCAACTACTGCTGAGGTTACGACATGCATGGAGTTCAAAGTCACTGTCTATTCGTATTCAAACTTTAAAGACAAAGGTAGTGTACGCGTTTCCATGAATTTTCATTCATTTTTGAGAGCATCAGTTTACATAGTACAAACATACAGTGATAGACATAAGAAATGTGATATTCAAGAAGCTACACAATTACATAATAGATTTGCAGAGAATCTCAATATAAGTCACATTCATGACGGGGAACCACCACACATTTTTTAGACGCGTCATTCAGTATTTCAGTGAACATTTTCCAAATCGCTGGATCGGTCGAAATGCTCCTGATCCTCGAAAATGGCCAGCAAGATCTCCTTACCTCAATCCGATAGATTTCTGGTATTGGGCAGAACTTAAAGGAATGGTTTATGGAGCTGGTCCAACAACAACTGAAGCACAACTTTGCGAAAAAAATGTTAATGCGGCTGAAATAATAAATGGACATATTCGAGGACCTAGAGTAAGAAGAAACTGGGTTTGTCGTAATGAAGCTTGTGTGGAAAGTGGGGAACGACATTTTGAACACCTTCTTTAAATGCAAAAAAAGTACAGTGGGGTTTTAAAAAGAAAAACAATCTATGTTTCAAAATTGTGTTCTCTATTTATAAGTGGATTTTTTTATTACGTGCAATAAACTTTCACACACCAGGTGAGACAGTTAGTGGTAAGTCCGTTTTTTTAATTGTTTGCGTTTTAGGAGTACATTATCAAATAATGGAACAATACCTAAGAGAAAAAAATAACAAACTCTATCTCTATTTACACTGCGTTCCGTCCTAATTTGCGTCTGGCATTGCGGCGTTGTCAGATTTTATTTTACTTTAAGGTCGCTTTTCTCTAAAAAAATGCCGTTTTGGCCCCAATATTATATGAAACTTCTTGCTTCTTTAACCCCCTCTACCACCCATTTAAATAATGACTATCATAACATTTACACCCTAAATTGTTTGTGAATAACCCTGAATGAAATGATTACCGAGTGTATTTTTCTTATGTAGCCTAAAGCTAGCATATCGTACCTCCGTAATGACATAAAACTTGTACGAGTCAGGAGTTTTTTCTTATCTCTCGAATCACACCACAATATGTACAGTCTGGCAAAATCAAAAGGTCGCCAATTTTGGCAGAACAAACTAGCTTAAGAACCGCTTTAAAATAATTGAATCTCAAAGTACCTTTGAATACTTAGAAACCTCAAAGATGATGATCTTTAATCGAGTTTTTGGTCATTGAACATAAACATTTTCATAGTTATTCAAACATTAAATGGCTTATAGCTCAGAAAAGACCACCTTTAAAGAAAGATCACCAAGGGCATTTCTTGTCCAGAATGATCCTAGAAATCAGAAAAAAAAATTTGAGCGAAGAAAGTTATATTCTGTAATGACTATATTAAAATAAATCGATCCCTTCTCATTTGACATCTGTTCGTAAAGTGCGGTCGTCACATTTTGCACATTTAACTCCATCCAGCCCCTGGTACGAGGGGATTTATGCCGTAGGATGTGAGACACGTAACGCAAGGAAAAAAATTTCACAATTTCCTAATCGTATACTTTTATTTTCAGGTAAGTGAACACCAACACTTAAGACTTGGACATGTGTTTCTCGGTAAGATATATAATATATAATTTATCCTGGAGCGCTTTCACTCAGATAATTCAGTTTTCTGGGAACCGATGATTTAATATAACTCAGCCGTCAATAAAGAACAAAATAAATACCTCGGATTCGCGAGAGAATTTTTTCAATTCATTTTTTTTTAAAATCCCGCTAATGAACAGGAATAAAGAGTAGCCTGGTGTGAAACTCGGAATCTTGGTCCACTGGATGGATTTTTGAAACTTTCAGTGGAACGCGGTTCAGAGTACAGCTCGTCAAGTGTACTTAGAGGTGTGAATTAGTAGTAGTCTCTTGTCGTGTCTAGACTAGTTAGCGTACAGTCATGAGAAAAATTGTCAGCCAGTGAAATAACTTTATTATATATTATCTGTGAATTGTATGTATTGTTACGAATTCGTGGGTTGAATACATACAATTTTACTCTATTAATTGTCGCCATTTATTCCTTGATGTGCTAGGAGTTTTCCTGGTTTATAATGGATTTTAAATCTAAATTACAACGTAAAGTCTTATCAGGACAAACTAAGGGGGTTGTTATAGCAAATGTTATACTCTTAATGCAACGAGAAGCAGAAAGAAATAAACCTCTTAAAGATTTGAAGAAAGTGCAGGAGCGTGCAGCCATGGCCAGCCATGGCCAACTTTGATGAGGATGAGGATTCCTTCGTCGATCTATAATGAATTTTTACATAACAGAAAAGAAGGTTCCAACTTTGCGGCGCATTCACAGGAAATTTGTACAAGAACACAATTACACTGGATCACATGAAACTGCTGAGGACAATGGATTTTGTTGGAGGAAGGCAAGAACTAATATCTTATGGAGAAACCAGAGATTCAACATCTCAGGAGAAATTTTCTGAGAAGGATGAAGGAATATAGAGAAAAAATTGTCCTATAATTTTTATGGACGGAACATACATCAATACATCACATACACATGAAAAGATTTGGAGCGATAATACCAATAAGCGCCTTAACAGGCCAGTTTCAAAATGACAAGGAGTTATTATTGTGCATGCTGGTGGTGAAAATGGTTTCATGGAAAATGCATATCTGAAATTGAAATCCAATAGTAAGTCGGGTGATTATCATAGTGAGATGAACTATAGTAACTATAAAAAATGGCTTCAGGATAAACTGATTCCCAACCTACCACCAAATAGGTTATTGACAACGCTCCGTAACACAATGTTCAGATAGACAAATGTCCTACGAAGTGCTCTAAGAAGAATCGTATAAAAGAATGGCTAACGCAAAAAAAGACACATTTCACTGACGACATGTTGAAAATTGATTTGTATGGCCTTATCAAAATGCATAAGCCGGCATAGATAGCTTATGAAATAGACATTTGAGTTGGTATGGGCATCTTTGAAACAATATGTGGCTGAGAGAAATGTAGATTTTAATCTCAAGACTGTCGACAAACTTTGCGATGACTTTTTCTCGTCTTATCCCACAGAAGAATCGAAAAAGCGATATCAGGATTCCAAAGGTTTTGAGAAGCAGTATATGGGAATGGAGACAGCACTCGACTTAGTTGTGGATCAAATAATAATAAACTTAGACCTAGCGATAGCGAAACCCAAGATTTGGGTTTAAGTAGTAGCTCAGATTCCGACTCCGAACTTTTAGGGTTTGATCCTCTGTGAAAGTTCATAAATCATTAAAATATAGCCTACTGTATCTACTATGATGTTAGTTCTCTGACCTTACTTTTCATTTGATTGTTTATTAAATGAAATTATTAACAATTGAAAATAGAATGAGTACCAATCAATGTCAGTCTTTTAGATACGTAGCGTGCAATACTTATTTTATGGAATAGATTGTTTTGGTTTCCTTATTTCTATGTTTAACTCATTTATATAAATAATCACATAAATCCGATTTTTAACATTTTTGCGGTAGAGAACAGGTGTGGAAACATAAAACTGTTTCTGTACTAATATATTAAGCAATTTTGGAAAAATATTGAAGAACTAGTATATAAATCTTGTTTTTTTAGATATAATTCTTTAAATGATTCTGGTGAACGTACAGTTGTATTTTAAGATATCCTAATGATATAGATTCGTTAATTGTACATTATATTATATACTCTCAAAACAAATTTAATAATGCACATAAACTCAGCCCATTGAACAAATTTTCTCTAAAAGTAATTGAGTCACATGAAATACTACAGGCAATAGATAGCTTAAGATCGGGTGCTCGCGGAATTGATGATCTAACGCTGACGATTACACAACTGAGTCTTGTAACGCTAATGAAGTTACCAAATTTTGAATATTGGGCTAACAAAAAGATATTTAAAAATTTGACACGTGCCAACAATTTAGATTGAAAAAAGCAGGTTTCACATAATACGTATTCCATTATTAAAATTATTCAATTGATTTAAGACGCAGACTGTACCCCTCGATGTCGAATGGTACGTTCGTGCTATCTCTTTTGCTCCGAATGCGTTCTCCCTCTCTCGTGTGCGCAATCACAGCAAATCCTCATATCTCTTCCTACACTTGACGAGCTGCACTGTAACATATAATCGAAGTCTACCCAATAATTTGGAGCGCTTCTGATTTTCAATTATGATTAATTTTTTCATCATTTCCTATCTATGTGTGCGGTTATTTAGGTTTATTATAGATCACCTGATACATTCCATAAAACCGAACAAATAAGCTCATGTCAGCTCATGAATGTTACGTGTTACTTGCTGAGATCCAGGTTCATTCCGTCAAATACTGATTTTTTCAGATCCTCTTAAATTACTTGAGGCACTATGAAGTTTTAACCTGGGATCTGGAATTGTAATCAAGCACGCCACTAACCGGTGTGTTGCAACAACAGTTCTAGGTGTCTTTTTTTTTGGGAGGGTGACATATCGTTTTGGAGCATGTTATGGGACTTTCAGACTGTTGTGGTAACACATTGGATAGGAATGCGATAATGAAAATAGAAGACAAACGAACGATTATATGTCATTGTACTGAAGAAGATCACCTTGTGATTGCAACAGGGGGCATTATTAAGCCCCTTAATGTCTATCGTCGATTCAGAGATCAAGTAAACTAAGAGAAGGGAAAAATTTATAAAATGGGAAAAATGAACTTAATAGTATCTCAGTTTGAATTTGAAGCTTACAGGAATTTTCAAGTATTGTTCAATAAGATCGTCTAACTAGTATATTATCACAAACCCGAAAAATCGTTTACTTATAAAATGAAATGAAAAATAAAATAAGGTATGTGTATTTGACACAGTACTTGATTAAGAAATTCAAAAACTCATTCAGCAGACCTGATATCCTTTTGTTTTTACATGAACCACTACTCTACTACCTCACCTAAAATATGCTACAAAAACTGACATTCCTATAAAGTCATTAAGTTAAAACGATTAAATCCCCTCAAATTCATTTCACTACTAGGCGTTATAATGTCCAATATAACAAATGTTTCTGTTTTGATATTCCTTCTCCTTTTCACAGGCCGGTTCAATTGTTTTGTGGGAGTTTTAGTCATTACGGGCCGGATGAAGTTTTCTCCTAATAGCAAACCTTTTGTACGGTGTCTCACAATGATCCCTTTACGAGTGACCGCTTAATTTACGCAATAAGCATAATTTAAATGGAAGATTTATGTGATGGTTTCGTCTGAGAAAGCGTGGACGACTTTATGGGTGAATTAGATGAATTGATAAAGCACAGCAGTTAACATTGAAAACCATGGAAGTACTTGTTAGTCTAGTAAAAATAAAAACGCTTTAATATATCGATGATTGCGTTTCCGATAACAGGTGCTTATGAGTACAAAAAATGCGTATTCTTCACTCAGGATCCTGTATCTCCACCGCAGGTATTCAGATTATAACACTAAAAAGAACTTGTATGTATGTACTGACACAGTTATTGTATGTTTCACCTATTGGAGTATACCATAGCAGTTTGGATACAGAAAGTGGCAGAAATAATTAAATTGCCAAATTCTTGTGTTAGGTTTATTCTTGGCATCAGAAAATATAATCACATTTCAGAAAAAAATTTCGAAGCTAGATGGGTTAATACAATAATAATAATAATAATGTTTATTTGCAACACACAGTTAGGTAAAATTAGTAGCAAAATACGTTTAAATGAGATATGTCACAAAGAAGGGCTGAAGGCATTTAAAAATGATACAAGTTCAGCCCTGTACCTATTACACATTCATATCTATACACATATACATACACACCTATACATATATACAGGGTGACTTCGAAGTTGAGTCATTTATTTTAACAGTGAGTAGATCTGATCAAAAGAAATGCTTCTTTCCTTTACCATTTTTCTGGTGAAATTAAAGTAACAAAGTTATAGCCCTTTGGAAGTTTGAGTACCGCCCTATCTCAATAATAATATTACGTGCTCGTGTTTGGCAACAACGGATATAATCCGCCTTATCGGTTCATCGCATCGGAAACAAAAAAAGCGAAAGAATTTGGAACGATGTTTTTACAATTACTTTATTCAGTTGTCTACAGTCAGTGTCAGTCGGTAACGCGTGAGTGAATAGTGGTGTCTGTTGCGTGGCTCAAACGAAATCAAAAATGGCACATGTTTACGAAAATGCTGAACTTGTGGACATGATTCTTATTTACGCGGCATCACGGGTTTATGCGGATCGGTTTCCCAATCGAGTGCAACCAACCCCTCGTGCCTTTGTTAATGTAGTACAAAGGGCTCGTGAATCAGGTGACTTAAGACCTCACAGGGGAGGGCATGTCGGTGCTCCAATACCGCACGATCAAATACAGGTCCGCACTGAAATACTTGTCGGGATTATACTTTATAAAACAAGGTAACATTTTTTTGTAATTTTTTTTTTATTTTTACACACATATTTTGGTTTATCTTCCTTCTACAATCACTATCTGAAAATTAATGACTCAACTTTATATATACAGGGTGGCGCATCGAAAACGAAACAGACGCATTTACT